TTCATTTATATAAAAGATATATGGATGACACTTTCATTATTTGCGAAGAAGACAGTGACCTCAATGATATTTTGAATATTTTCAATAGCTGTCACCCATCAATCCAATTCACCTTAGAAGCAGAGACAAACCACGAATTTCATTTTCTTGATATCCATTTAAAAAGAATCCCTGACGGTTTATTACACAGATCGATATATAGAAAACCCACTTGGAATGGACAATACACGAACTTCCACAGTTGGGTTTCATTAAGTAGAAAAAGGAACTTAATTCATTCTTTATCCTCAAGGATCAGGCGAATTTGTTTCAATGACACAATAGATGGGGAACTATTTTATCTTCGGCAGACCCTCATCAAAAATGGTTATCCACCGAGATTCATCGATAAAAAGTTGGCACCCAGACCTCATGACAAAGCATTGACAGTAGAGAAAAAAAACGCTATTTATGAATATGGAATTTAAGGGAGATACAGCTGCTGAAATCCTAAATAAACGGATTTCGAAATCATTGAATAAAACATTCCACGCAGCTAAGCTTCGAATCATCTCTAGCCGACCTAACATTCTGGGGTGTGTTAAGGACAAACTTTCGCTTTGGGCCACTTCAATGTGTATCTATAAATTTATTTGCTTATGTGGGGAATGTTACATAGGCCGCACAAAGTGATCATTATCCAAACGCATCTCGGAACATTATCCGGCCTGGCTCTTGAAAGGGGAACGAAAAACAATCACTAGTTCGATACAGGAGCACTTAACCAACTGTGGACATATCGCTCCAAAAGACTCTTCGTTTAAAATAGTTTACAGAGTCAAAGGAACTGGATCGAAAGGGGTTCGAATCAATAATTTATACACCGCAGGGGCATTGGCAATCCACAAACTAAAGCCTAAACTTTGCGTGCAGAAACGATTTGTCCAACCTCTCATCGTTCCCTGGCCTTAATTCCCTTAATGGGTATGTTTCTAAGTGTTTTTTTCTTTTTCAATGCACTTTTATTATTACTATTTTGCACTTTAAACTCTAATCATTTATTATTATTACCTTTTACAAGTTTTCTTGATTATCATTCAGTTTATTATTATAACCTTTATTGTTTTGTCGTTTCTTTCTTCATATCTGTCAATCTGTCAATTGGACTATTATCTCACCCATAAATTTTGTTCTTCCTTACCCCTTGATTAGTACGTTAACCTCATTTGTTTTATTATTGTCGAATCCATTTTTTTGTGTGTGATACAATCCATTCTATCCTTCTATAGACATACATTTTCCATACGAATGTACAGCTTAAGTAAATGATTTCGTTGAAAAGAAAAATTTTCTTCGCTGAATTCTCTTTTTCTTATTCAATGACATTATGGGTTATTTTAATTATCAATCACATCTACCGACGTCTTGAAGGATGAGCACAGTTTATATGTTCACGTAAATAAAATGATGAATAGAACACAAAGAGTTGCCTAACATCCTGAACTTAAAGAGGCCAGGTTTCACAAACATACCTCAAACCTGCTCTCACCGATGTGTTGTGAATTCGACTTTTTACAACCAGACTAACATAGACCACTCTGGATTTCATTATACGTCAAATGATCTCATCAGTTGTACAGCCAAAACCCTTTACACAACTACGTAAATATACGAACCTTTTGACTGTTCACTATATCAAGAGTAAGTGAAAGCATACGCATCTATCACTCTTATAAAAGAACTTTGTACTTAGAAGGTATAAATTATGTGTTATATTTTCAAATCAAGATTATGTCTGTATTCATTATCTAACCAATAACTTCACAGAAATTGTTCAACAATAGAAAAGCTAAATAAGCTTTCTTTAAAGAAAATAACTGGACAGGAAAAAAGGTGAACTGCATTTTTTGTTGTTGAATAAATGGAATATGTGAAATAGAGTTTCTGAAGAAATAACGAACTAGATCATCAATAAAATTACTAATCAATGGTAGTTAGTAATATACATATCCAGTGTATTGAATAAGCGAGAGCATTCTTTACAGAAACGATTGTGTTTAGATATGTAGTTTGTGGATAATGCATCAAAATCAACTTGGGGCATTGAATAAGTGTTTCATCCTTATATATGGGATTTAGCAACAGCACATATCATCAACCTCGGTGGAGCTTGAACACAGGATATTCAAATCTTTCGGCGGAATGGTAGTGATGCACATACACACTCAAAGAACTGCGGCTCGTGAGTTTGAATCTGATGTGATTTTAAGTGTGTGTATCCATCCACAGTAGTTGGAGTAGACCATACTACGCAATTTAGCAATCTATAGACTATTTATACTACTCTCATTTGTACAGTTATTGGCTATTAAATATATGATATGTGTAATCATAATGCGAAATTTGTCATTCAACCGTATTCCTAATCATACAATTTAGTCATTAGACTTACAAAATTCACTAGGCGAATGGTAGATGTTTACTAAGACAGTTTATTTCACTAATTTCATGTTTGGTTTGTCAATGGATACGGTATATACTACGAAGGACATACTTTTATGCTATCATTATTACTAATCATGAAAACTACTATACGGAACTATAGTATGGTTATTACTAGTTGTTACTGTTGTCCATGTTGGATAATATATTTCAGACATATAAGTTAAACAAGATAGGAAATTCTGATGAATTCATGGTTGTGGATTTAAAACAACTACTCTTTATTTCACCTTTCCACTCAGTTCCACAGTCATCAAACAATAATAAATATGTGGATCATTGAAATGATGTATGTAAGACATGATTAATTCACTTTTATTATTGATTTCATTTCTGAACATTCCAAAGATTAACGATTATCCAAAGAATTCTATTTGAATAGTTTATCACTTGTATAGATTTTATTGTATTTACCATACGAAATGTTAATAACGATATGAATGTTAAATACGAAGGTGTCATGCTCGATTGATTTCTATCGGTTTACTAATTCCTACAAGAAACCATTCAAACAAGGAATCGATGTCTTATAGTTAGATGGTTTCACAAACCATTTCTCAATAACTCGTAGAGTCATGTTAAGTAAATCTGATATTCTCTGAATGATATGGTTACAAAATTTAATTCTTTGGATGATTCTAGAGTATATCCAATTTACTGAAAACACAACGCTAGTTCCTTACAATATCTGAATCTGATTTTAGTAAAACCACTCTTGTCTATGTTATAACCAAGTGAAGATTCAATTACGAGTAACTTCTAAGAACTATTAATGGACTAATATTATATATACATTGCTATTGTATATTTGTTCAGTAACTAGATTATGTATACCTGTATTCATCGAATTATAAGCTTCATTTTGACCTGTAGACTATTATGATACGATTTATTGTTCTTAAGTTATATTCAGTTTATTGATTACAGTCTCGTACGTTCACAGTCACTTCTTGGCTTGACTATGTATATATGCTATTTCCTATTTTATGGTGTGATATAGTCTGTTTGGCTAGTATATAAATCAAATATGTTTGAAATAAATGAATCACATAGTGGAAACTGTTACTGGTGTTCTGGACTCAACTGACAGGATGCTAGGAGGACAAAAAACCAAGAAGGACGCTAAGCTGTTCATGCCGGTCGAACGTCATTGGCTTAACACAATTCTAAAATTGAATAAGTCGTATCTCAATTGGTGAATAAATCACGTGATAACTAGCCGGGCTTAAAGTCACAACAGTCTGTAACCACTAGTTCTAGATATTACGCAGACCTCAACTAGGTCAGTCTACATCCAACAAAATGGCTAAAACTAACAGTTCATAACTTCATGGACTGATATCATTTTCCGCTTTCTTCTAACTGCATCACAAGACAAGCCCTAACTTGGAATCCTGAAGGAAGGCGGAAAAGAGGAAGGCCAAAGAACACATTACATCAGGAAATAAAAGCAGATATGGAAAGAATGAATAACAATTGGAAAGAGCTGGAAAGGATTGCCCAGGACAAGGTTGGATGGAGAATGCTAATGAGTGGCCTATGTTCCTTCATGAGGAATAACAGGCGTAAATAATTAAGTTAAGCAATAAAAAGATTCTATATTTTCAATCAATTAATCAAATAGGACTATCATTTCCATATTGTAAATCGATAAGTTAACCCACTTTGTATAGGAGGAGAACTAACCATTAACAAGTCAGTCGATAATAAAAAAAAAAAAAAAGAACAATCAAAATGAAGATATCGGTAAGCCCCGGGGATGAATATCAGTCAGCTGTAACTTTTATCAATATAAACGAAAATAATACTCAACATATGAGAATGAAAACAAGAACAATGAGAAAACAATGAAATTTATATGTTTAATATTATATTTTAGAAAAGATTAATTATTACAAGTTGTATAAGGAAAAATTAAAAAAAATACTTAACTATGAATGAATCTTTTTTTTTAGTTTAATGATTGAATAATTTAAGTAACTTTAATTAATTCTTGTGGTAATGAATTTTTTGGATGTTTATTTTCAAAATGTTGTTTATATGTTTTAATATCAGGTACTTGTGTTTTACATACAAGACAAGTATAATGAAGTGCTTTAGAAGCAGTTTTTTTTGAATCTATAGTAGGTTTTTTTAAATCAGCTTGCTTTTTAGCATTTCTTTGTTGACTTTGTATTTTTTGTTGACCACGTGCCATAGTTTTAATACTAAAAAGGATAAAGGTAAAAAAACAACAAAAAACAAAACACAATGACAATTTAGACAAGTTAAATAGTTATATTGAGAATAATTAGAGATTAATTAACAGTAAATTGATAGTTGAAAATTTGTTTCGGTTTAGTTGAAAGTTACTGAGAAATTAACATCACGTAGTATTTGTGAGGATTGATTATTGTTATTATTTGAACACGAATATTGGTAAAAATATACGCCAATTACATATACGCTACACAATAACAATGAAGTTATGGGAAGATGGAGAATGTAAAGTGAGTATACTTAACAAAAAAACAACAATGAACAAGAATTAGTGAATGAGAACGAAATAATAATAATAATAATGGAAGAAACAGTTCAGTTAGGAAAAATACAATCACAAAGAATTCTTTCAGTTAAAGGACCTCCTGGTCCACTTATCGACTTACAATACGCAGATGACATAGTCCTGTTTGGTGAAGACGCTGACAAAATGCAGAGTCTTCTGGTAGCACTAAGCAACAATGCCAGAATGTTTGGGATGCGCTTCTCTCCCTCTAAATGCAAGTTGTTGCTTCAGGACTGGTCTACGTTAACACCTGAAGTAAGGATAGGGAGTGAAGTAGTCGAACGCGTTGACAACTTCACTTATCTTGGAAGTCTGATCAACCCTAATGGGTTGGTGTCTGACGAAATCTCAGCACGGATTCGAAAAGCTCGATTGGCTTTTGCCAACTTACGTCACCTATGGCGAAGGCGAGATATCCGTCTATCAATAAAAGGATGAGTATACTGCGCGGCAGTCCGTTCTGTTTTAATTTACGGCAGCGAAACATGGCCATTAAGAGTAGAAGACACTCGTAAGCTATTAGTATTTGACCATAGATGCCTTAGAAATATTGCTGGCGTCTGCTGGGATCACCGGGTAAGTAATAGTGAGGTTAGACGCAGGGTATTAGGAAATGATGGTAAATAAGTCGACGAGGTTGTGAATGTTCATCGACTGAGATGGTTGGGCCACGTGTTACGTATGCCTGAACACCGATTACCACGACGTGCAATGCTATCCGGTATTGGAAATGGTTGGAAGAAAGTTAGGGGCGGCCAAACCAAAACGTGGCATCAGTGCTTGAAGTCACTAACTTCTAGTCTGAGCCATGTTGGTAGATGCAGACTACTTGGTTGGGGTCCGCGTGACTATCGTAACCAATGGTTAGAGACTCTTGGTGACATGGCTCAGAATCGATCTCAATGGCGTCGGTGTATACACTCCCTGTCTTCCCTTAAACTAAGAGATTAAAATCGCTTCATATCTTTCTTTCTACGAACCAATTCTTTCTTCTTGTACTATATCTCTATATGCAATCTTTCTCTTATATATTACTACCTTTGACCTAACCACTACAATGAATCCGGTGTTCATCTTGTTGTGCTGATGCGGTATGGCAACCTAGACCGATGCAAATATGTGCCTCGTCCTACGTTGTAGCTGACTGACTGACTGACTGAAAGGAGTTACGTTTGCATTTATGAACAAAGTAAAAGAAATGTACAGTACGATCGCCACTGACTTCTATTCTCAAACGTATCTGATATAGAGGATCCGCCTAGAGGAGTTGAAAAACCTCCATTCTAAACCAATGGTGCACATGATTTGCAGGATCTTGAGGGAACAAATGGCGTATAAACCTATTGTTGATCACCGAGAACCTATCTTCTGACGTCTTTCAACTATCTAGTAGGCTATACCTCTAGGTCAAAGGCTAGGGGAGTAGTCCTCTAAGAGAACTGCCTGTTTCGGTTTGGGCGCCTGGGAAGTATCACAGGCCTTACAAACAGATCAAGTGGTGTGGCGCATATATATTTGGTGTCCCTTTGTACCGATGTTTGTTTTCAAATAAATAATGATGCTTGAAGACCATATACATGAATGAGAAACGATCGTAAAAAGAAAACTCTCATGTGTTGTAAAGGCTGCTATCATTCTTATATCAGTTCTTGGTCAGTACTAAAGTAGAAACCATATCTAGTTAAGCCTAAAACGATGGCTTTTTTCTAAGGTGTTGTGAAGCGGTGATTTAGTGGCTAAGGAGTTCGACTTCTGAACACAGGTTCGAATCCCGCTCCGCTTAGTTTGACTTTAGCAAATGGATAGTATTACTAGTCCTTACACTTCATATGTGGTTCACGAGGCAATTTAATTTAAAAGATTACTTTGCATTTTAAAGTATCCATATTTGTTATCAAAAATATTATTTCTCATAAACTGGGACTAACAACACATACGATACATTTGAAATAGTCTCTAACCCATGCCCGTTATGTAACGTTTCCCGAAGTGAAAATATGAAATCTGAGACACAAATCATGAACTGTCGTCCGGTTTTCCTTTTTCGCTATAATCATCCACTAATACTCATAATAAATGGTTGATGAAGTTACTTTTGACTGTGCTGAGTAAAATTATTGCGGGGAGCTAAACGTCGTAAAACATCTAACAATGACAACTAATATTAGGTTCAGATAAAACGGAAGCTGAAGTAATGGATAACTGGAAAAACGACAATACAAAGATTCAATACAGTCTTTCTTCGACATACTGAAAAATTCAACGAATTCAAGATAACTCTAAACAACAAGTTCCAAGCCTTATGAGATTTACTCAAAGAAGAAACTACTATGTAGGACAACTGAAAAGGTATTGAGGCAGCACTCACTTCAACCTTTTAGCAGGTTCTGGGCAACAAGAAACATCGTTATAAAGAATGGATCACTATCGAAACCCTAAACAAGATTCAAAAGAGAAGAACAAGAAGATAGCAATTAACAACAGCCGAACAACAACAGAGAAAGTCGAGACCCGCTCCAAACACACAGAAGCTAACATGAACGTCAAGAACATTAGAGCCGACAAGCAGAAATATGTGAAAAACGTAGCAATGACAATGGAAAAAGCTGTAAGAGAAGAAAATATGAAACAATATATGACACAACGAACAAACTGACAAGGAAATATAGTAAACCTGAGAGACTAGTCAAGGACAAGAAAGCAAGAAAGCCAATCACTGAAATTCGGAAACAGAGGGACATATGGGTAGGACACTTCGATGAACTCTGGAATAGACCAATTCCACTGAATCCACCAGATATCGGACCAGCACCTGCAGACCTTCCTGTATATATGTGTATAATATGTATAATATAATATAATATATGAAGTCTGCTTATGTTCGTATCCATAATTATTACTGTTATTATTGTCATTATTGGTCCCCCAACATATTAGATATTCTTTTTATCTCTTCTTATCCTTCGAAACATATTTAATCCCTGATTGTCCTTTGAAATTAATTGTGACTTTCATAGCATCATTCTTAATTATTATTGCACAAATATTTATACTAATATCCGGTTTCACTCTGTATATTATTACATAAATCTACATGTGCAGTAAAGGATTTATTTTATTTTTCTAAATTGTTGGTTTACTCCAGAGGTCGATATTCATTACACAATTATTATTATTATCATGGTTGAACCCTTTCATTTGGTGTTCATTTCTTTTCTCTCTCTTTTTCCATCTAAATAAATATTATTCCTAACTTTACAAAGTTTTTGACAGACAGCAACTTGTGTTACACTTAAAATAACTTCTCAGACTGGTTTTATCTTCACTATGCATATATAACTCATACATATTGATATTTCATTAACCGTTTCACTTAATTGAGACTTTTGTAGCGTTACTCCAAACTGTGACTGCAAAAACATCTGTTCTAGCGTCATATCTTACTGAAATAATGAGTTGTTTTTTCTTAATTATTTTCTATTTTATTTTATTTTTTGAACTAATTTCACGATACATACATGGTCGTTTATTCTTGTTCTGCGTTCATAAATACGCGTATTAAACTGTTCGCTTATTTCACGTCTCCTTTATTTCCATTTCCTTATTTACTTCCTTTCCTTCTTTGAATTTAATTCAATGTTCTTCTCAATTACACATAACCTGATTTATTATTATTCTATTATTATTATTCTCTTTTTCAAATATGGCAAATATAATGCTAACATTATTGAGACTTGTGCATTATTGCATTTGTGAAGAAACCATTTTGGGTTTCTTCACCAAACTTATGTACCCATAAGATGTTTGTGAATGACAATAATATAACCGTTACTCCACCAACGATCGAAGAAATTAGCATGGCCAGCAGACAGATCAAGAGTGGGAAAGCAGTAGGACCTGAAAACATACCCGTTGAAACACTGAAGTCAGACACAACAGTAACTGTAAAGAGCCTACACGTTCTGTTGAGAAGGATTTGGGACGAAGAACACGTGCTGGAAAGAAGGATAGTTGATGAAGATGAGAAAGAAATAAAATGTGAGCAAGGGAGCCGCTGAGTCCAGGGGCCTGTGGCGCAATGGATAACGCGCCTGCCTACGGATAAGGAGATTCCAGGAAGATGTGGAATATTCCACGTGCCTGTGCAGCATCATCGATAAACAGAGAGGATCTAATACATACATTAAGGCAAGGTTAGCCAAAGCAAGGACAACATTCCTACGGTTGAAGAACATATGTAACTCAAAACGACTGTCAGCCAATATCAAAGTGAGAATCTTCAATACGAACGTCAAGATAGTTTTACTGAATGGAGCTGAAAACCAGAGAACTACCAAAACCATAACCAAAAATGTAAGTGTTAACAAACGATTGTCTACACAAGACACAATGTCTATTGGCCGGACTAACTTGGAATCCTAAAGGGAAAAGGAAAGGAGGAAGAGAAAGGAACCCGTAACTGGAAGCAAACATCAGAAGAATGATTAAATGGGAACAATTGGAAAGGATTACCCTCGATGCAGAATCCTGGTGGGCAGCCTATGTTTGTTCACAAGGGGTAACAGGAATAAGTAGGTAAGTAATATTGGATGAACTAACCGAATCAGTCTAGTGAAATTCAATGCGCTCACGCTGCTGCATACATTGTCAACAACCTGTGTAAGACTTCACCAAATTCAGTAACATCTTTGACTAATCGTTTGATTTCACTTGTTTTATTCCTACTTTCTACACCTCCCGAGAGATTCTGTTCCATCTTGTTTTAGCATTACGTTCAAGTCTTTCTGCTTTACTAAGATAGTAGCTACTGTTGTTAAATGACTACAAACAAAAACCATGTTTGTATTTATATTGCGTAGACTGCTTTAAGTTCGTCAAATCTCAGAACTTTGTTTATGACAAACTTATTTAACTTACGGGCAGTCACAGTAGCACTATATAAAAGAAATAATGCAGACTTTCAGTCATTTGTTCTTAAAGCGAAAATCAAAAATATACCTGAATTAACCTCATACTGTGAAACTTGTTTGTTATTTCGCTGATATAGTGTGTAATGAGTTGGACCAACATAAATTTCTCTTAAGTGACATTTCAATTATGACTAATCCGTACAAACTGAGTGTCTAAGTACAAAGTCCGGATTCTTAACACACTATTAAGGACTTTGCATGCATCAATACAAAATGCCCATGACTTATGCAAAGATTTTTGGTTTAAAAGATGCTACAATATTCTGCATTTGAAGTTTGTCACACTGATCACAAAAAGGCCACATAAGTTCTAAACTTCGTAAAATAGAGTTAAGGTCTAAGTGGCATGTAATTTATGGACGGCTTTTGGGTGACACTAGAGCAGCCTTGTAATACTTAAAACTAGGACGAAAATAAATAGGGTCATCGATCAGTCTGAAGAATTAAGATAAGGTGTAAAAGTTAGATGTGGGTGGGAATTAGGGTGTTTTCATCATGAACTGAGTGCTATTGAGTCATGTGGAGGGGTTTATTTTGCGGATAAATCTAGCAGTTAACTGTTGGATAATATAACAACTGTTATCATGAATCTGAATGATTGTCGCATATATTACAGTTTATAGCTATTGACCACATTACAATAATAATACACATGGGTATGGAAAAAAAGAACCATTTAAGTGTACCGAACCAAGGTATAACAAAGACTGAAACACATGTTGCAGTCAGAGTAAAATAGTATAGAATATAATAAACAATATTTTGCTCAATAACACCGCATACAAATATCGGAAACACTTTTGGAGA